GAGACCTTGTCCTTCGGAAGGTCTACGAGAATACGAAGGAGTGGCGAGCTGGCAAGCTTGGGACCAATTGGGAAGGACCTTACATCATTACGCGAGTCATCAAGCCCGGAGTCTACCGTCTGGAAACAACGGCTGGCGACGAAGTTTCTCGTTCCTGGAACTCGATGAGTCTGAAATGCTACTATAGCTAGAAAAGTTTCTACAACGCCCACGGGCTACAAAAAAAAAACAACAAAAAAAAAACAAAAAAAGAGCTCTTACCGAGCTAGTTATCTCTTATGTAATGTGAACTACGAATGGCTTGATCCCATTTTGGGTACGTAGGCAGCCTGCAAAGGTCCAGCTATAACTTAATAAAATTTTCATATTTTACTAATCTTTCGAGTGTTTCCGAGCTCCGTGCTTCACTACTTTACAAACGCTTCCGAGCTCTACTATACATCGGTGTCCTGGCCAGACATTCGATAACGCCTATAGTGAAGTCTGATCAACTTAACTCAGCAATAACCAAAGCCAAGTCTTGTCTTGCGCACGTTCCTCTTTGAACAATATGGTGAAACCATCTAAAAGATCAAAGGAAAAAGTGTGTTCCACTTAGCCCGGGAATCTTTAAAGCCGAGTCCAGACTCGCACTTTCTAGGTCGTGTATGGAGTAAGCCGAGCCCAGACTCGCACTTACATTCGAACCTAGAAAATTCTAAGTCGTATTAACAAGATACGCCTACCTGTTCACATGTTAATATTCGAACTTACGAATACAGTCGTATGATGTAATGTAAGCCGATTATCACTCGCACACTCATATTCGAACTAAGTTAAAAATCCGGGACCAACCCCGCACTATCCTAAGTCATAAATCGATTTACACAAAAATCTGACTCGAATAAACAAAGCCCTAGAACGGTACATTTCATTAATTTGCGAAAGACATTCAAATACATAAACCCCGCAACGTGGGTACAAACCTTCAAACTAAAATAAAACCCCGTAGCACGGGTACAAAGAAACAAACACATAAGGGTCATGCCTCGGGATCCTTGATCTCCCCATCCTCAGATCCAGCCCGGCCTTCATCATCTCGGTCTGACTTTTAGCCTTCATCACCGCCTTCTTCATTATCGGTTTTTGCCCGGTCCTCTTCTCTTGTCTCCCCGATCACATCAAGAACGACACCAGGACTCAAGAAGAACCACCGAGGGATGATCTCTTGGAAAGGCCAGCACCTCATCGGGCACGTCAAAATCCTCATCGAGAAGCTCTATCTCGTTGTACAGCTCGGCCTCGTCACTCAGCTTCTTCAGCTTGGCTTCAATCTTCTTAATCACCGATGGCGGACATTTAAAACCGTTCTGCTCAAAAACCTTGATAGCATCGAGTTGTCCTTCCAGCTGAGCACAGGAAGTCATGTTCGTGTTTATCTCCTCGCATTGAGCTATATATGCCCGTGTCTTCCTGATAAGCTTGACATAATGGGAAGACACTGATGCTCGAACATAAGACGCCCAGTCGTCCCGGGTTTTTGACGAGAAGCTCCCTTTCAGCCTCGAACTTCCTCAAGACCGAAGCCAAATCGGCAGTAAGGGACTGGATGCTTTCATCCTTGGACCTCAGAAGAATGTCTCAAGTGTCGACCTCGGCCTTCATCGCGGTTAGCTCTCCTTCCTTAGCCTTCACAGCGGCCTCTAGCTTCTTCTAATTTTCAAGGCTCTTCTTCAGAGCACGGTCATACCTCTCGACCGCCGCAGTAGAGAGATTCTTGGCCTGAAACAGAACGGGATCAACTATCAGCATAAGATAAAAACTACGGGAAGCCTAAATATGAAGAATGGGAAAACTTACCCTGGTTTGTACTGAAGCCAGTCGGACGTAGTCGTCCTTGTAAAAGAGCTCGTCCATCTTACATGACGGAAGGGGCAGACCCTTCATTTCCCACGCAAGTCGGGCACTAGACGTCTCATCCATATGGATTGGCTCCTTGCCCCGGTACTCAAAGTTAAAGGCATGCTTGCTCGGGCAAGAATTAGCCTTGTGCCTCTTTGCAGTTGGTTCAATGCCGGGCTCCTTAGCGACCGGTTCGGGGAATACAGTATCCTTGTCCGCTACCCTAGTCTCGAGATCCTCAACATCAGTCGGATTAACATCCGGGCTGACCTTAGCGCAGGATTTCCCTTCGATACGGGTTGCATCCTTGGCAACCTTCGCCTTTTTCTTCTCGACTCTCTTCCGCTTCAAAGTTGTCTTGACAGTGGCCGCATCTTGAACGTCTCCCCCGGCGTGAGGGATGGGATCGAAACCACTTTGAACCTCAGCTCCTGAGTCCGGAACCCCTCCTGGAGGAGTATTAGCCCGGGTCGAGTCGACCGCGGGATTGTTCGCATCTGAGACAAGGGTTTCACCCGACCTCTGCTCAATATCCCTTCCACTCGCAGCCAGCAAGGACTCATCGAGTTCTTTGGAAAAGTCCCTCGTCTTCCTTGGCTTAATCGGCATTTTCTTCTTTGACTTTCGGCGAAGATGACCTGACATAGCGGAGTCGTTAGCCCGGGAACATCTCTTAAGAACGGGACGCAATTTGATTGACTTACCTGTTGCTCTTGAAACTCTTTTGATGGTAAACTGCGGCCAAGTCTCGTGGCTTAATCTCTGAAAGGTGTTCCTGTGCTCGAAGAAACCTTTTGCAGGAGGCTTGATCGGGGTTGCCGGCGTCGCTGTGAAACAAAAACTAAAGTCAGCACGAGATTAAGTAAACGCACTCTACAGCTAAAGATCAACTAGCTACCGATCACATCGGCCCATCTAGTTAAGATCGGGACGTCCGTATCAACTACGGTGTTCTCGTCGATCTTCACGAAGAAATAACAGTCTCGCCAGTTGTCAACCTTCTTCGACGATTTCTCGGTGACTATGTTCAGCTTCCTCTTCATGCTAACATAGAACGAACCCCGGTTCTGAGTGTTCCCCCCTTGAGGCTTGATATCGGTCATCTCCTCGAAGATGTCAGTGGAAAATGGCAGCCTGTGCTCCTGAGCAAGGACCGTCAAGCTGACCACATGACGAATGCAGGCATGCATGGTCTGTGAGATCGGCATTCCCCTCCTCGCACAGTACTCCAGAAGAACCCGAGGCAGTGGAAACCACAGATGAGCATAGAGGAAGAAATGTTCGAACAGACAGATGTAGCCTGGTGGTGCATCCCAAGGCCTTTGCTCGGGGCTCGGGACCACAAATTTAATCTCAGGCCCGATCCTACACACTTCCTTCAGCAAGTTCAGCGATTTCCATGTAGTACGGGATGGAATTACGCCAAAGGTGTTGTCTGACCTCGGAGCATTCTTTTTGGATAGTCTCAAGTACTTGAACGAAGCTGGAGTGTATTTATCGAGGATCCCGTTCTCCCACGATTCCTCTGAAGCCCCGAGGCTAACATACTCGTCTTTTATCTCGGCCTCGTCTCGTTCAGCCAAAGCGTTGGCGCTCCCGATCTCATCGCCATCACCCCGATCCGACACGTTGACGGCACTCTCGGCCTCGTCTGATTCATCCCTCAGCTCGGGTACCTCGTTTTGAACCCATACTGTCGATGGCCCGGCGTTGCCCCGAGCCACGAAACCTAACTGCCCCTCCTCGAAGCGCCTCGCCGCGTGCTCCTGCTGGTCTCTCTTCATCTCGACATAATTTATTCCCATCGCCCACGCAAACATTCGGCCGGACTTATCTGATCCCGAGCTAACACTACCCGCCGACTCAACCGGCGAGGAGACTACTTCCTTTCCTTTCGACGACTTGCGAGGACCCATCTCTGCCAACTATACGGATCCCGACCTAAATATGATTGGTAGCACGGTCTTCTACTGGCTGTACGGTCTTCTACAGACGCTCCGATCTATCCTAGGATTATCGGACCTACAGAACAAAAATTCTAGAGACAGAAAGAAGAGAGAAGGGAGAGCGAACCTGATTCGGAGATTTTCGCGAGAAGAAGAAGTGAAGAAATGAAGACCCTCACCCCCTTTTTATACGAAATCGAAAACAGTTTTCGAGAAACCCGTAATCATTATGACGGTTCGTATTTCCCGTGCTTAAATATATTCGAAAAGTTGACACGTGTCACATCCCAGAAGACAAAGAGACTATTCCGGCTCGAGAAAGGTGGCTTGTGAACCCGACCTATAATAAGGCCCGACCTATTATACGCGATTCGCAACCCGTCCTGTAATGAGGCCCGGTCTAATACACGCGGTCTCGTCCTATCTTACACGGTTCAAGTCCCGATCTTGAATCGTACAAATCAGGAGTTCGTATGGATTGACGTAGCTTTCAGGCACCACGTGCTTCGAAACGCCCCGATCTCAATTTATACCGAGCTACTTTTTCTTATGTTCTCCTAACCTGTTACTCAGATCGTCGAACTGGGGGGGGGGGGGCTAATTGTTAGAGATGGGTTTAGCACCCCTTGCTAAAAGCCCTTCATAAATTGAGATGAGGCCCATTTGAAACCCCACCTCCGCCTCCGGATTTAGGTCGGTGCTCAAATATGGTAATATTCGAAGATATATTCGAATCGCGGAAGAAAAGGAAAGAGAACTCCGAGAAGAAAGGAAGTTATCCTTATCCCGAAGGAGAAGAATTCGATTCAAGGCGGTCTACGAAGGCTATATAAGAAGAGTCTCCTCCTTCGGAGATGATTCATTCACAACTTCGGACTTGAGACCTAGGGCAAACAATAGCTTATTGCTTTCAGCTTTAAATCTCGGTTCTTACTCTCAAATTTTAGGTCGACGTTCTTTTCCGACGACCTAAAACCTTTGTACACTTCGAGCTCCGGCTAATCAATAAAACAGTTTTATTTTTTCTCTTACAAATTTTTATATTTTCTTTATAGGAGATATCCAGATATATAATGGAGGATGGTTTCTCGATATCTCTCATCCACTTCTAATCACAAGCAAACACGAGATAAGAAAAAAAGTTCATATCTAATATTATTTGAATCGTTTGAGATGGCGTCAACGAAGACGACTAACGATGGAAAAGGGGCTTACGTCACTTTCCTAGCCGGAAACCTAGACTATTGGATGGGTGTGGTTGGTCTAGCTAAGGGACTCCGTAAGGTGAAATCTGCTTATCCTCTTGTCGTGGCGATTCTTCCCGACGTGCCGGAGGAACACCGTCAAATGACTCAAATCCTTGTGGCTCAAGGATGCATTATCCGTGAGATCGAACCGGTTATTCCGCCTGAAAACCAATCCGGTTATGCTATGGCTTATTACGTCATCAATTACTCGAAGCTTCGTATTTGGGAGGTATATAATCCTACTTACTATATATGCATATTTATGTGTAGTCACATGCATTTGACATGTCCCGTCGTATGTAGATTTAACATTGGACGAACATATTCAGATATTTTTAAAAGTCTATATTATATGTTTTAAACGTTGATTCATTTGACATATAAATATAAATGCAGTTTGTGGAGTATGAGAAGATGATATATCTAGATGGAGACATACAAGTGTTTGGTAACATCGATCATCTTTTCGATTCTCCTTCTGGCTACTTGTATGCCGTCAAAGACTGTTTTTGCGAGGGAAGTTAGTTCAAAACTCCTCAGTACAAGATCGGTTACTGTCAACAGTCACCGGAAAAAGTGACGTGGCCTGTGGAGAGCCACGGTCCTCCGCCACCCAAGTACTTCAACGCCGGTATGTTGGTCTTTGAACCAAATCTCGTCACTTATGAAGATGTGCTTGAAGTGGTTAAAGTCACTACTCCAACTTCTTTCGCTGAACAGGTCTGGTTTTATTTTTTTCTTTTTAGATTTTCATTATTTTGATTTATATTTTTACGATTCTAATTATTTTTAATTCTTTTTGTAGGATTTTCTGAATATGTACTTTAAAGACATTTACAAGCCAATCCCTACGACCTACAACCTCGTATTGGCTATGCTTTGGCGTCATCCTGAACATGTTGACCTTGATCAAATCAATGTTGTTCATTATTGTGCTAAAGTATGTTTTATTATCTCTAATTCGTCATTTTTTGTTCTTGACACATTTATATATATATATATATATATGTTTTTGTTACTAAAGCTTTCTAATTTTTTAATTAATTTTGTTGGGTTCGAAGCCTTGGAGATTCACTGGAGATGAAGAGCATATGGATCGAGAAGATATCAAAATGTTGGTGAAGAAGTGGTGGGAGATTTACGAAGATTCGAGTTTGGACTACAAGAACTTTGTCAAGACTGAGTCAAAGCTTAACCCGATCATTGCAACCTTAGCCTCCAAGGAATCCGGTGGGGATTGCTTTACGAGCCTCGCTCCTTCCGCAGCATAAACCAATTGTTATGTGGAGGCTATATTATATACTATCTTTGTGTTTTTTTTTTTCTTTTACGCAAGATTTAGCTATATATAATAATTTATAATAAAATTATATATAGCAACCTCTTTTAAATTTTATGTTTGTGAGATTTTGGGGTTGGTCTTGTGTTTGGTTAGACTAATGTGTCAATGACAAACCTCGACCACCCTCCGTGCTTTTTGTATTTCAATCAATAATAAAAATGCTATTTAAGAATCGATCTCTTGTATCTTTGGTTATCTCATGAGTTATTAAAAGGCTGGTCGATCAAATTATCGGTTCGTTTTTATTTTTTATTTTTTTGGTTAATATAAAATAAGTTTCATTATAAAACTATACATATTATGGTTTAATTTGGTTGGGATATTTTCGATTTTTGGTTTATTTGGTTTTAACCAAAAACTATTGGTGGGAACTATATAAGTTTTATGAATTTTAAATGGTTAAAAAATGAAATTAACTTAAATGTTACTCACAACTCAATGCTTTATCGGAGTTTTTTACTAATGACGTGATCATTAGGGTTAAATTAATCACAACTCTATGCTTTTTTCGGAGTTTTTCCTAATGACATATCAATAATTATAGTTCGCGAAGATCAATTTTTATCAATAGGTATACATTATCATACTCATTTACTAAAACATTTTCATTTGATAATCATGATTAATATAGAACATTTCCTAACAAAATTATGAACGATATCAGACGTTCAGACATAAAGTACGTGGCAACTAGCAGGTGAAAATTGAGTACAAGCTTGAGGAGACGAAATTATCCTCCACACAACACTGAATTCCCCGTTTTGCCCCTCACTCACTCTCCCTTCCGCCACGTTAAGCCCTCCGGCCACCACGAAAACCCGGTCGTCCGCTCCCGTCACGGCGAAAGGTCGCCGCATCGTCTTCCCAGGAAGCTTATCACCATTCACGTACCTCCACGTGTCATCATCGGCGGAATAAACCTTCATCGGGAAATCACCGTGCTCGGAGATCACGAACAGTCTCTCACGGATCACGACGCTCACACCCGTCCATCCTTCTTTCATCCCACCGCTCATCTCTCGCCACGTGTCTTCCTCCGAATCGTACACCTGTCCCATCGGCGGAAACATAAACGGCCAAGCCCATCCTTCCGTCACCAACATCTCTTTCCCGATCACCGCAGAGTCGTATTTCGCCAACACCATCGGCAGTTTCGCCGATTCACTCCACGTGTCACTCTCTGGATCGTACGATTCGACATCCGTCGTCGCTTCTCCGATTCCGTCTAAACTCCCACCAACGGCCATGATTTTCCCGCTTAAATTCCCGGCGACGAAGTAAGTTCTCGGACTCAGCATCGGAGCCGCGAACGACCAGCGATTCGTCAAGGCGGTGTAAACGACGGCGGAGCGAGTGGAATCGCCGCCGCCAAGGACGAAAAGCTTTCCCTGACGTGGAATCGACGCGCAGGACAGCGCGTGAGGAGACGAGATCTTTGTGAAAGAGGTTGGCATCGGAGGTAAAACGAACCAACGGCCCGATGCGAGGTCTAAAGCTTGCCATTGAATCCTGGCCGTAGATTTGTTGAAGGCGAAGACGAAGAGGTAAGGAGAAGAGATTGAGAGAGATTGCTTGGAGAAGAGGAATCTAGGGTTTGTGATTGTTCTGTTCCAAGAAGATGAAACGGAGCGAAAGAGAGAATGGTATGGGTAAGGAAGACGAAGAAGACAAAGCTCAGCGATCTCGTTTGGTAAACCTGGGATCAAAGGCTGAGACTTTGTTCTTGTTTCTTCTTCTTGATCAACGATAGTTTCTGGTTCTGCCATTGTTGTTGTTGAGAGATTCAGAGAAAGCTGGAAACTTTTGGGTTTAATGTGAATGCGGAATCATATAGGTTATCCTCACAATATGAGAAAACAAATTTGTACATACTAAAATGTTACTTATGGAGGAAAAAATTGCAACTTTTATGAATGAAGTTGATTTGATTGATGAGAAGTCACATTCGGGTGATTGGCATAAAACACAGAGATGGGACTGTGGATGGATGAGGATTCTCGAGAAACTCGTGTTCCACATGAGTCCACGTTTCTGTCTCAGTGTAGAGGCAAAACAATTGATTTGTTTTATGTCCGTACAGTGAGATTAAGTGTATCTAGTAGATTGATTGGTACAATTGGCCAGATACAGTTTACATTTGCAGTTATTGGTTACAGAGAGATTAATATTATTATTACAATAAAATGATGTTGTCAGGAAAGTGATCAAAAGCAATTTTTTTAAGATTTAATTTTGGGAAATAGTATTGTTCAAGACAAGAAGTGAACACCAAAATAGACTTTTGGTGTTAATGCTTCTCCAGATTTCTCCATAACTCAATATGATCAAGTAAAGACATGAAGCAATAAGCATGGACACGATCACACAGGTTTTACTTCTGCGTGACACAGAAGTTTCAAAGACCAACTCAATATGATCAAGTAAAGACACGAAGCAACAATAAGCATGAAGTTGGGAGGTTACACTGTAAGCAAATGTATCATCTGAAAGAGTGCTCCATCTTTCTGTGTCATCTTCCTCACCAAAGCGAAATGCTGGTTTGCGTTTTCTTCTGTCTTTTCGCCTGTTTCCGGTTTTAATTCTGTGAACGACAAAAGCAGGAACGGTTACAGATTTCAGAACAGTTTCATCTGAAGTTTAAGAGCAAAATATTACATAAATCTCTTGAAACTGCTTGAAAGCAGAAAGATCTGTTCAGCAAATTCTTAAAGGCCAGTATTCTCAAAACACCAAACTTATCTGAAAACAAATCCCCAAAACCTATTCTCTACTTATCTGAAAGAGACGATTGAAACAACTCTTTTTGAACAACAAGAATATTTCCTGGAGATAAGCAAAGTCTAGAAAGATGTTTATCTATATAATCGCAATTTAAACAAGTTGAGAGAAGCTTATTCATAATGGCACAAGTAGTGCAAAGATACAAGAGATGTATTCAAGAAGAACTCACCAGAAAAATTTGCCCGCTTCATCAGTCAAACATGCACTGTAGCAACTTGTCTTCCAACGAGTGAGACTTGCAAGAAGATATGACTCCTGTAAAGTTATCTCTTGACATTGACTTATAGAACAAACATGTTCTCACTAAGTGGCATATGTAACACAATACAAGTTTGTATGCTATAACTATCTTTCGACTAGAAGAAAAACACAATCCAATCCATTTATCTCACCATCAACATGAAAAGCAAAAATATCTCAACCGATTTTCAACAAGAGGCCACTGCATTTATGAATCAACTTAAGGGATTCATGAATCCATATAGCTACAACATCAGAGATTTTCCATTTATAGCTATAAATTTTTGAGTAAAGCTTTATCATTTCTGTCAATATTTTCCATACACGAACCATCAAATCTCCAGGTAAAGTACATATAAAGTAAAACGAGGCAATTCATTGTGGACTTGGAGGGGAAAAAAGGGAAAATTTCCATTGAAATGAGAACATAAACGGATGTCAAATTTGTTATTAAGATATGAATTCTAAACAATGCTAAAGACTAAGTTACATACAGAGTGAACTGCAGCTATTACATGATTGACATTGTACCTTGCACCGACTTTTAAAAGCACAGTATCTCTGCAAAACTCTCTTCTCTCCCCAATTCCCTTATTGGCCTCGGGTATACACAACAAATCTCGAAACTCTTTGAAACCGCCAATTACTGCTAATCTTACAACATGACAACCAACAGACACGTATCTTTATACGGTTCTTTGGGATTAGTTGCATTCTGAAAATAATCTACTAACCTGCTCTTGTGTCTGCTGCTCCAGGATCATAATGGCGTGCTTTTCAGCTCAGAACATGGAACTACACAGTCTTCTTTTTTTGCATTCAAAATTATTTGTCCCCTTTTGGGACGAGAGCAGGCTGATACTTAGACAATATGTAACAATGCAGAAGATTTCTTTCACACCTCAGAGTCTTGTTCCTCGAAAGACCGCATTGAGATTCTCTCTCGGAGAATCGGCCAGTCTTCCCCAAGCTGGTGTGGGTTTAACTCCATGGCGATTCTGAAATCAAGCATGGACACAGAACGCTGATCTTGTGTTATGTCAGAAGGTCCGTTTTGTGTTTGTATCTGCAAACCGTTACTCGGCCAAACCCCATTCACAACCTTGTTTTGACTCTGCTGCTTCTCTAGAGCTTGATCTCTGTTTGTGGACCGAGCTCCAACTAAATCAACGCAAGATTTGATCAGCTTCTTAAGATAAACATCCAACATGTTATTTAACGTATTAGCACACTCCATTGAAACACCTCCAAGAAGACCCTGCGCTACTGCAATATTCTCCATCCTCTTCCTCAGCATCTCTGTATCCGGCAATCCACCGCCGTCGTAGCAACTAATCACATCGCCTCCGGTTGAAACAGGAACCGTTCTACGGGCTGAACTAAATGAAATCCCTAGAGGTGCAACCAGAGGACTCGTTGTTAGCTCTACCCTCGCCTGCTCCTCTTGACCTTCATCATCTCTCATACACGAAGTTGCAGCAACCTGATCTTTACTTTGTATCCTCAGTTTCTCAACAGGACGAAGAAACTCACCGTCTCTTTCGTCAGCAGCGTATCTGCCTGATCTTTGATGATCAAAGTCACCGTTCTCCAGACCAACACTACAACCTCTATTGTCTTCTCTACAGATTGGTTGATGCAACAAGTGTTCGACCTTCCCGTTTGATGAACCTAGTGGACTATCTCTGACCTTCCTCTCTCGCAATCCGGACCTAGCTTTCCTCGGAGAGATGGGCAAAACTCCGTTGGACTTAGACCAAACAGTAGGATCATTATGGTTGTTGTTATGGTTAGGGACTAGAGATCCACTTTGCTCATGACCATCTCCTCTACTACTCTGACAAGCATTCCCCAAAGGCGGGGACTTGGCGACAGTTGCGTTTCTCAAGATCGAACGGATCAACTGGTTGTGTAGACAGAGATTCTCCCTCCCTAACAGCCTGAAACAAGTCTTGTCAAACTCGCTTTTGGTAAGCTTCTGGCTCAGAAACCTGCCTAGGTAATAAAAATACCTTCTTGATCTCTCAACCCCAATCTTCTTCACTATATGACCTTTCAATTCACCAAGATTAACCCTCTGATCTTGAGAACGTTGCATGATTACTCAGAAAAAAGAATCTGACTTTCTTTCTTACTTATTTTTTCTTCTACACCAAAACCAAAATGAACAGTGGGAGAGTGCTGATACAAGTGACACAGACAAAACCTAACTCCTTCCAATGCAAAAATTGATTTTGGTATAGGCTCCTTGGAATTAAAGGCTCTTCCTTTATCAAATCCCAAATCCATACAATGCAAACCCAAATCTCGTCTCCGCAAGAACCAAAACCCTAGAGATCATATCTACAAGCCACTTCACGCAAAAGCCCTAAAATTTTTCAATCCTGCTGATTCAGTATCAGTACCAATTAAAAACCCTAGCTTTTTGGGTCACCAAATCATTTTTCCCTCTCGAGGAAGAAACAGCGCAACGAAGCCTCTCCCCAACTTCAATGAAACTGCACCAGCAAAGAAAGACCCAGCATTGTCAAGCCCCAATTTAGAATGTAAAAACTTGGGAATTTTCGGAATTTAACAAGAGTGAATCGAGATCAGTGAAGTTTTGAAAAAGATCCAAGCTTTGGGAACAGAGCAAAGACACGAATTGGGTTAATTAAAAAAAAAAATTGAAATTCGAATTGGAGAAGGAGGAAATAAGGCAATGAGGAGCGAGAGGAGAGCTTGTAAGCAGAAGAAACAAGTGTTGAGTATTGATTCGCGACCTAACTCAAGCAACGATTGACCAGAATTTCAGACAAATAACACGAGACAGAAGAGGCAAGTTCCGACCAAACCTAATGATTCTTCGCTCCGAACTCGTGTGTATTGCTTCAATTTCCTGTGACCCAGAATCTTGGATTCTCTTCGTGTCTTTCTCGTATTGCCCGGTCGGATTTGAATGTCTGAGCTTTTCGCTCTTCTGTGTTAAAGCTTCGATCGCTGCTTATTGGGTTTCCTCAGTTTTCCTTTTTTTCTGTCTTAATTTGTTTTTTTTCTTTTCTTCTATTTCTCTCTCTGCAAACGTGCTCTTTTACATCATTGTAATTATATTAATAATCAATATAGGTTGCCACTTTTTATCTTAATTAGGAACTTTTCTCTTTGGATAATTCGTTTTCAAATCTCTTATAATTTAAGAGTTTGGGCACTTGGTGAATCGTATTGATACAAAAGTAGAGGGTTTAAGTTCACGATCTATTATTATCGGAGCAATTTGTGATATAGCAAGATCGAATTACAAATTAGATAAATGTAAATGAAAGTTTTGATATTATAAATTAGAAACTAACCATCAAAAATATTTATAAATTCGTTTACTATCGAAGTATTTGGTTGTTATATTGAGCTTAGCAAAAACTTCGATTTTATTTAAGTATTTGGTTGTAAAACTCAAAAGGTAAAACTCATTTTTGCTAAGCTCACTTAAACTAGATTTAAATCCAACTTATACAAATGAAGCCACAAATTGTTTGTGGATCAAATCATAAACTAGTCAATTAGGTATTCAGATCATATGGTTTACAATCCAACCAAAATTTAAACTAAATCCTTGTGTATTACTTTAGGTCTCAACAAACTTATATTGTGTTAAAATTCAAAAAAAAAAAAAAACTTACAATGTAAATTTTTAAACATTCAAATTATTTTTTTAGTTAGAGGTCGTGCTCAGATTTGAATTAAAGCGACGATCTTAATTGTGTGCCTGGCTTCTTAATTTTCACGAACCATGATTCGTGTACTCCTTTTTAAGTTGATCCATTGGTCTCAAACATATCGTTTTAGATTACTTTCAAGTTTTTGTGTAGTCTGTAGTATCAAACTCGACATGTTGTTCTGTTATCTGATCAGTTTATATATATATATATATATAATGATCATTTATTTAGAAATATAATGTCTGAATTTTTATTTTGTGTAAATCCAAAACTATACACAGCCATGCATGGTTAAATTAGAAAGTTTACGTGATAAGTGACATGCTCTTTGTGACAAGTGACAAGCTATTTGTGATAAGTGACAAGCTGTTATAACAAGAACAATAATCTCAGATATATAAATCTTAACATTCATACAAAAAACAACATTTAATAAAAGTCAAATCGTTTGACCAAAAAAAGGTCAAATCATTTCTTAATTTTACCAGTTAAAGATTTGGTACTGTAATTTTAGTTTGGCAAAAAACTTTTATAACATTTATTTTGTAAAGTGAATATTATTGTCCTTTTGGCAATGATGTACTTGAAACTTGAAAGAGAGTAATAAGCGGTTCAACCCAAGTACCCAACAACCAATCTGGTTCTGATGTCACAAAGAACAAAAAGTGCTCCAAATCTAAGTTTTTATAAACCAAATTTTAGTTCCCCAGTTGTGTGAAACCAAATCTTGTCAGGTGGCTCATATCTTATTTTATGAAGTACAATGTGCAAATTTCTTTTAATATTTTTGATATTCATTTGTAAATATATATATATATATATATTGTTTCGTATAAGTAATAATTTATTATCCAATTGTTTACCAACAATATATCAATCCAATTATAGTAGAGGAGTAAAGCTTATGATTTTTTAATATCATCCATTTTGGAATAAATTCAAATTTATTAAATATCTCAACGGAAAATATACATGTTATAAGATATTGGGTAAAAGCCTTAAAAATCATTTACTAGAATACCAATTTCAAAATAAAAACAAAACAACTTGTGCTCGACTTTATACCGAATGGTGAATTTTAACTATGCTAAAAAAAAAAACATATTTGTGAATTTTCAAAAACAAAAGTTAAGCAGTTACAGTTACACAAACACAACAATACAAAGATCAAAGATCCTGAAAAGCATTAAAACAAGGCTTTGTATGATCTTCGACAGTTAAAAGACAAAAGAAGAAAGTTAGATATAGACTCGCATATATCAACATACTTTTGATTGCATTTTTTCAATTAAAAGTAGTTTTAAAGTAACCAAAGTAGTAGAGTCACAATCAAACTTAATTAGACTGTATAATGTTGCTGAATTGTGTCAATGTCAAGTCCTTTAAGCTTCACCACTGACTCTACTTGTCCTTTTAATGTGTCTAGCTCTCTCAGCCTGCAAAATACCATCAAAATCACTTAATCATGTTGAGCTCTTTGTATGATTATGAGAGTTTTGAATCCATGGTGCGAAAATGACGAAGAAAACGAAATGATTTTAGTATATTTACCTAGCAACTTCAGCTCGGCGTTTAGCTTGTTCAGCGATCTCAGAGAGCTCGCTATAACAGTTCCTTTCACTGAAGATGTTGTTTGTCTCACGTGGTTGAAGTCCATGGAGAGTTCTTTGAGCTGCAGCCCATTGAGCTTCTCTTTCCTCTTTACCATAGTCTTTCTTCGTTGTGAATGCAGTCTGTTTCAAAAACAACATATAAGTCAATAACATTCACAGGTTATATACTCCATAACTCATGTAACGTTGTACCTTGTTTTCAAGAAGGTTTAACCAAGCTTTTCCACTCAAAACGTAGCGTATACCAAACTTGAGTAAGTCAAGAGGAATGTATGTTACGAGACTGTATAGCCAGATTACTCCAGCCCATCCCCAACCAGTACCTTCTATCCGAGCAAAACTCCAGTTCGCATAAACCGCTATCAATGTCGCCACCTGAGAGGTTGCGTAAACCGTTATGAACATCTTGTTCTGTTTTGTAAACGAGTTACGTAATATAGATATACATATACTAACATACCAGTTGAGCTATGACAAATGCACCAAGTAAGAGAAGACCAGGGGGTTCGACGTAAGACCAGCTACGGGATCTGGTGACGAAGATGAGAGACTGGCTTATGATGCTAACTTGTAGATACAGAGCAGCCATCATCTGTTCAGGACGTTGGCTCAATGGTCTCACACCAAACTTGTTCTATATAATCCCCCAAAAGAGTTTTAGTTTTCTGAACTGGCCTAGAGAAGTAACTGAGAATTTTAAGAGTATATACCGAGAAAACATCAGTGTCTTTCATCGCCCAGAAGAAAACGACAGTCATTAAGGCTTGGTAGCCTCCAAACACGACGCCGGTCGAGAAGATTTCTATGAGTTTCCAGCTATCTGGCTGTGGAGATGGCTTCACTTTGTCCTTTGATATTGTCATGATTGTTCCTATAAGTAGCATTGCTTTTATCAGTTTTAGAGATTGTTCGTTATCATGTGCAATTAATACTCTATAATAATGTAACCTCACCGTCGTTTAAGATTGCTATGATCAGGACCATGAAAGGCGCGAAATCAAACTCCCATAGGAGAGCAATGAACATGAAGCCGAACTGCAGATATTGCGATAACTTTAGACTAGGATTGAAACCATCTACACCGAATCAAAACCTGTGATATCTACTAAGTATACTTACCACAATACGTATCGTGATTGAAACCGCATAAATCTACACAAAAAGACAATTTTCAATATTGAAATTAGAGTCTGTGAACGGACGAAAACATTTATGAGAAGAAGTTTTAACTCACGGTGTAATTTTTCATTCTTTGGAAGATGGCTCTACTTGTGAGCACTGCACTAATGATAACGCTCAATCCAGATTCTGTGAGAACGATATCAGAAGCGTCTCTCGCAGCATCAGTAGCATCCGCGACAGCTATACCGATATCCGCCTTCTTGAGAGCCGGGGCATCATTCACACCATCTCCAGTCATACCACATATGTGCTTCATTTGTTGCAGCCTATGAACAATCTCATACTTATGCTCTGCAATTTTCCACGAGAATCCATCAATAACAATCTGTAGTCTGTACATGTATCAGAATGTGTGGTTAAAGATATAGCCTTCTGCTAAAGTGTGTATACCTGGAAAGACTCCTGCAAATCCATCAGCCTTCTCAATCAGTTCATCAACAGGAAGTGCACCCAAAGAAGGATCTTTGTCTTGTCCGAGCAGTGCAGAAGAATGATACATGTTCGTACCCATTCCAAGCCTGCGACCGGTCTCTTTCCCAATTGCAAGCTGGTCCCCTGGTTTCAATGAGAAGGACACTCATAGTTTCAAGAAAAATGAAGTTCAGAGAGACAAGGATCAAAACAAAAAGAGCTGTGTGATTCTTACCGGTTATCATCTTAACATTAACACCAAGGTTTAAAGCCCTCCTAATTGTCTCAGCACTGTCATGCCTCGGAGGATCAAACAGAGGTAAAAGACCTACAAATTGCCATGGGTCACCAGAAGCATCTTTCTTCTTCTCAGGAACATCCTGCACCAACAAAATCCAATATGAAACACAACGAAGACACAAGAACCGCTCGATATTATACCATCACGGGAACATATAATAAAACCTGTCTTGCAACAGCCAAAGATCGTAGTCCACGCTCAGCAAACTTATCAATCACAGCATAAGCTTTCCTCTTAACATCTTCCTTGCAATTGCAGAGGTTTAGTATCTGTAAACAAAGTCAAAAGAAAGATCATTTGGATGATCAATTCAACAACACCAGCAACACATCAAAGCTTGGTTCATCGGTACCTGCTCAGGAGCTCCTTTGCTAGCTCGATGCCAACTTCCATCAGAGTCTATATACGTCAAAGCGGTTCTCTTATCAACAGGGTTAAAAGGAAGGAAATGAACCTCACGGACACCAGCTCGAGCCTCTTTCGGATCAGAAAGCATTCCAACAATGGCTGCATCAATCGCATCTTGATTCCCAGTCCTCGAGGCTCTCGCAGCCGAAAGGATAACATGTTCTCTATCAAACCCTTTCGCAAAAACCTCCACTAAGTTCCTATCAACGGTGAGCTTGTTCAGCGTGAGAGTTCCAGTTTTATCACTACAGAGAACATCCATGCCCGCCATTTCCTCGATCGCAGTCATCCTCTTGGTGATAGCTCCTTGTAGAGATAAGCTATGAGATCCAATCGCCATGGTAACAGATAACACAGTAGGCATAGCGATGGGAATCCCTCCGATCAACAAAACGAGAAGATTATCGATTCCGTCTCGGTACTTACGGTGCTGAATCGGATACATCACGAGGAGCTCGATGATGATTCCTAGGGCAATCGAGCATATGCAGAAATTCCCAATCGATGTAAGGACGCTCTGGAAATGTCCGGGTTGGTTTGTGATGTCGACGAGATGAGCAGCTTTGCCGAAGAACGTGTGGACTCCGGTGGCGATGACGACGGCTTCGATCTCGCCTTGTTTGCAGGTTGAGCCGGAGAAGATTTCATCGCCGGGATTTTTGGTGACGGGGATCGATTCGCCGGTGAGTGAAGATTGATCGATCTTGAGAGGATCGCCGTCAAGTAAACGAGCGTCGGCGGGAATGATATCGCCGAGTTTGACGCTGATAACATCTCCGGGAACGAGGATTGACGCCTCTTGCTCGCTCCATCGACAATCTCTTAGAACCTACACTCATCCCAAATTAGATTAGTGTTGAACTTTTCATTCTAAAGAAAAATAATATCTTGCTGAAACTGAATTAGGGAGGAGAAAACAGAACTTGAATAATTCAAAAAAAAAAAAAAAGAACCGTAATTTGTTTTTTTTTTTATATAATGCAAAGTGAAATTATGGAAAATAAAATCTGAAACTAACCATGCCAAAATCTGAAACTAAATTATTTAAAAATGTATTTTAGATTTGAAAATTTTGTCAAATCGATTTTATAAAAGATTTAGTTTTTAATTCATTATCAAATAATTCAAAATTCAATTAAGGGGTATAATTGATTAATGATTTGGGATGATTTTTTTTTTTCAAATCCCAAATTCATTAAAATTTTGCCTTATTTTGGAAAATTGGGATTTTATTAATGAATTATTTTTAAAATTGATTTGGGATAATTTGAGAGGTAATTTAGAGTTAAAGATTCATAGATTGAAATACCACCTCATATGATAGTATTTGAGAGAATTTAAAAGACAGAATTTATTTAAATTATTTTAAAACTTTAAATTTATTAAAATCTTTATAGGTTTGGATTTATCCAGATAAAAATTGTAAGTGTTTGTGATGAATAATATCCATTTTGTGTTTTAAAAAGTATAATATTTTTTAATACACTAAGTACGTCATAAAAATATAAATAGACAAAATGATTAATCTACTAAGCCAACATTCTTAAAGTTTTATAATTATGGAACTCCATTTTAATATTCGATCATTCAACTATTCTATACAAGTCAAACGCTTATCATATGATTCATATCTAACAATAGTTTTTAACTAAAACCATAAAGTTGTGTTAAAATAATTGATTAGTAAGAAGAAAGAAGAAATTAAATTGGGTTTAACCTTAGTCTTGGGGGCTAAACCGGCCATGAGAGCTGCTGCAGCATTACCGGCGTTGTTCTCTTCAATGAAACTAATGGTTGAGTTAATAAGTAGCAAGCACATAATCCCCACAAAGTCTTCCCAATCCGGTGGCCGTCCTCCTCCGTTGTCCAGAGCAATCGCCATTAGAGCCGCCGCCTCCATCACCCACGACAATGGGTTCCACATGAACCCTAAAAACTTTAGATACTTGCTTTTCTGCGAGTTATATATCCAATCACAACAATTAAAAGAGAGTGTACGTACGTCACTCATGTTCTGTTTTTTTTTTTTTTTTTTTATATATATATAACGAAAAAAATTAAGAAGAAACCTTCTTCTCTTCGAGCTTGTTGGGACCAAAGAGGTCAAGACGGTAAGAAGCTTCATCTGACGTAAGACCTTGTTTTGTGCATTTCAGCTCTTCGAACACTTCCTCCATTGGTATTCGAATCTATACCCATCATTTATGTTTTATTTTTTCTTCAATTTTTAAGCTTAAACAGTTTTAAATCAAACAAACACAAGTACTAATTCGATATGGGACCCCCAAAAAAACTGATTTTATTGAAAACATAGCTACAAGTACAACTAGTTACTAGTTTTTCAGGCAGATCATAATTTAATGATATACATGTCTTTATACCGTAAGATCTCATAAGAATTTTTTTTTTTGAAAATATTCTTTCTTGGAAACAAAAAAAAAACATAGCTAGGCAAGATAGGATCGTGATTTATTGAAAGCATAGCTACAAGTACAACTACTTACTACTTTTTTAAGGCAGATCATCGATAGTTTATATCGTAAGATCTCATAAGAAAAACTTTTTGAAAATTTTATTTCTTGGCAAAAAAAAAAAAATATAGCTAGGCAAGATAGGATCGTGATGTTAACACGTCGTTTTAAAAATGTTCTAGCATAATATTTATTTGGATTCGAATCCCATAAAGCCATGCTATGAAGTCTATATATAGCCTCACAATAGAATTATAGACACAAATCACGTTTCGAGATTTTTTTTTTTGTTTTTAAATAAATGTAGCGAGTTTAGTTGCAATATACATGTTACGTTTTGGAATTAGTTTGGGTCAATGATTAAATACATTTATATACCATATAAAACAAAGAGGACATATATTTTTACCAGATCAATGGTTTCATTCTTGATGTAGTCGAGTCCGTTGCCTTTACCGGAGAGGACGGCCATAGTTAAGCCGGAAAGAAAGAAAGTGAAGGAGAAGAAGAAAAGGAAAAAAAAAAAAAAGTAGCTAGGGTATTTATGAGGAGAAGACGAGAACTATCTATAGTGTAAACTTCAAAGACGAAGCGAAAATGTGAAGGTTGGAATTAGGCTTATGTGAGGGAGGCTAGTTTGTGTGTGCGTTTTTGGTAATTATATCAGTTCACGAGTTCACTTCTTTTTCTGTTTCCATTTTGTACGTGGTATTTGACCTTTTCTTCTTCTTTTATTCGTATGTCATAGTTTTTTTTTTATTTTGGTAGCTAGCAACGCTAGTTATTTTTTTTTTCTTTTCATCAGATATTTAACTTAGCACCAAAAAGTGTTACGTATTGTAATTTCCCTGTTAATCATCTTCTTATTCATTAATCCACGTGAATAAAGTACCGGAAGAACACAAAAGGCAAGGGCACTTTAATCTTACTAAGAAAGCGATCACACATATATATATATATTAATAATTTTATTACAAAACATAACCTTTCTTAAATGATTAGTAAAAAAGATGTGTTTTCAGTCTGTCATTAGTCTACATATAAAAATATAGTTAAAAGAATAATGCTAATATTTATAAAATATTTCTTAAATAAATTATTTTTATAATTTTCTTTCAATAGAGTATTCGTTTCACATTATGAGTCATTTTAGATAATTTTCTTAATATACTTATTGTATTTGTAATGTATATTTGTTTATATATGTAATGCTAATTTTTCAGAAAAATATATGTGTTTGGTAAAAAAGTAATAAAAACAATATTAAAAGTTATGAGACAAAAATAAACACCCAAATGAGAAACTTATGAAAGAAACAACTTTCAGTGTCCTTAGTCTGCTATGAATTTATATTTACTCTACCGTTAATTTACTTTTAATATATGTTTCAATTGTATTGTCAATCAATCTTTCAGTAGTTTTTATTTTGTCTGTTATTAGTCTGCTATTAATTTTTTTTTTCAATAACTTTGCTATTAATCTACATATCAAAGTAGTTAAAAGATTAATAATGATATTTATAAAATATTTCTGGAAACAGTTATTTTTACAATTTTTCTTCAATAATACTTGTTTCACATTATCAGTCATTTTGGATAATTTTCTATGGGGTAAATGATTATATATTTTCTAATATACTTATTGTATTTGTAATGTATATTTGTTTATATATGTAATGATAATTTTTTCAGAAAAATATATGTGTATGGTAAAAAAAGTAATAAAAATAATCTTAAAAGTTATGGGACAAAAGATAAACATCTAAAGGTGAAACTTGTGAAGGAAACAGCTTTCTTTTTTTCCTCTTCTTTAATTTCGTGCTTATGCATTTTGCCTGAGAATCATATTTCTCACCCACTCATGCAAACTTTTTCCTTTAAAGACGTAAAGATACAAAATTTCTCAAATCCTTCCTGGAAATACCCAACAAAAGAAACCCTAACTATAACATATTGTGTTTGTTAGTTGAGTAGTAAAAACACTCTTTTTATATTGCCTTTATTCTATATATATACTTTGAGATATATAGTTTTTAAAAAAACTTGATACAGAAGCTTAAATATATAATTATAGATAGTTAGATACACCGTACACACGTATCACGTATAAACGTAAGCTCTATTTTAAAACTTCATTTGCAACGTTTTGTTGGTCGCGCTAATGATTATATTTGTAATCTTGTCTCATGTCCCATGGAATTAGAGATAATCGATTTTGACTTATGTCTGTTCCTTATAATTTTTTGGTCCCATGCATCAGGATATGAAATAAATGATGATCGATGTGAGAAAATATGGGTTCGACCAGAAAAGACATTAGAGAGAAAATAAGTCACGAGCCCTAAAGGAAGATCGACCTTTTCTTTGACATGTGAACAGAAAAAAGGCACTGGATGCTCGTGGATCGTGGCAATGCAATGCTATGTGGTTACATCAAATGTCTTATGTTAAGTCCTCATCACTCTATCAAATATCAAGACATATTATTCTTATACATTTTTGGATTATTAAAAAGTTTCGGATTTTACGGGACTATAATTTGTTTGGACCGAGAAACAAAGCAGACTTCAGAATCTAGTCTGTTTCCTCCTTGAAACGCTCATGGGTTTTATATCTATAATATACATTCTTTTTCATATTAATTTATGTTAGATTAAAATTTCGTTTATAGTTGACCACAGTCCTATACGTAAATCTTTTCAACTATTATAGTCCAATGTTTTCGAGGGGTTCTTAATAGTAATAGTAGCATCATCCGTCATGTTTTTAGGACAAGAAATTTCAAACAAGATTTCTTTTACGGACGTGTCCCGCAACATTTTGATACGGTGTTAGTAAAATAGATTTTGAAGAGTTTTTTTTTTGGGTATAATGCTTCCCATCCTCTTTAGCACAATCCATATTACTCTCTTCTAGGTACCACGTTTTGAACATTTTTCGATTATTGTATTATTCCTTAGTGAGTTTTAGGTAACATGTTTTGAACACTTTTGGAGAAAGGGCAAATGAACTTGCGCTTGGGTAATGGAGCAAGAGTTGCTGGGACATAAGTAGACATATATAATTCAAAATCGATGGGACTTGAGATAAAATTACAAATATACTCAAATCATTGTCGTTGGGATATAAGTAAGTAGATTTTTGTCTTCTTTAGAATTATATTTCAGCCTCTCTAACATAATTTAATAGATAAGATATTCTAAAGAACTTCCTCAAAATTGTGAACAAAGCACGTAGATTTCTTGGAGTTTCCTCTCACAATTTCACTTCTTATTCTCCCTTAATAATTGAAACAAAGATCAATAAAATAGAGGATACATGCAAATAGCTTGAGAGAATATAAAAAAGGCAAAATCACTTATTGTTAAACACGGGTAACATGAAATATGTATGTTTAGTGTTTAACTTTTATTCTGTTTCGTTCTCTAGCAGGCTTGAGAATTTTATCACTTAAACAAAACCAAATCATAAGAAGTACGTAGACAGAAGAGCACATCAAAGAAAATGGCCAGAAGATCGTTGGGACCAGCCATGAGAAGATTACTGGCTTCGTTATACCAATGAGAGAGCAGAGCGATACCAAGGGAAGATTACTGGCTTCGTCATAATCACTTGCCTTGTTGCAGCCATTGGTGGATGCATGTTTGGATATGATATCGGTGTCTCAGGTTCTGTACAATAACTTAAGCCTTTTGTAGTGAATAAGTGAGTGAGTTACTGTTAAGTGTCTGAAACAGTCTCTAGACTTTTTTTTTTACAGGTGGTGTCACGTCAACGGATGAGTTCCTCAAAGAGTTTTTCCACACCGTGTATGAAAAAAGGAGAAATGCTCATGAGAATAACTACTGCAAATTCAACAATCAAGGATTAGCGGCTTTTAACTCTTCGCTGTACATTGCTGGTTTGGTTGCCACTCTTGTAGCCTCACCAATCACTAGGAACTATGGACGACGTGTAAGCATCATATGCGCTGGGATCTTCTTTCTTATTGGAGCTGCTGTAAATGCTGGATCCATGAACCTTGCGATGCTTTTACTCGGAAGGATCATGCTTGGTTTTGGCGTTGGATTCGAAACTCAGGTAATGTGAGAGGACAATGACATTGTTCACAAAATTGTTAAGTTTCCGAACTTCCAACTCAAAATCAATTGGCAATGAGTGAATTTCTCCAAATTCCTTATATATTAGTCAAGGTCCCTCCTAATTTTCAATGTATGATATATATTTTACACATTCTCTAGAAATTAAAGTTTCATAGCGCATTAACCTCTACAATCTCATCTTAGGAGGCAACCTCTCCTTTTTTTCCAGGCAGTTCCTGTGTATTTATCAGAGGTGGCACCAGCACATATGAGAGGTGGTCTGAGCATTTTGTTTCAGTTGGCAACAACTCTTGGGATCTTTGCAGCCAACATGATCAGTTACGCTACACAAAGGCTTAATAACTGGGGCTGGAGGCTCTCTCTTGGTTCAGCAGCTTTACCGGCTCTGCTCATGACTCTTGGTGGTTACTTCCTTCTCGAGTCTCCTAACAGCTTGATCGAAAGAGGGTTTGCAGAAAGAGGCCGAGAGGTCCTTGAGAAGCTGAGAGAAACAGAAAACGTCGAAGCCGAGTTTCAAGATATGATTGATGCTAGCGAGTTGGCAAATTCTGTAAAGCATCGTTTTAAGGATATTCTGCGGAAATGCCACAGGCCTCAGCTTATCATGGCAATTCTTATGCCAATGTTTCAGATCCTCACTGGAACAAACTGCGTTCTCTTCTACGCACCTATTATATTCATGACAATGGGGTTTGGTGAAAATTCTTTACTCTACTCTGCAGTCCTCATAGGAGCTGTCCTTCTCCTCTCAACTTTTGTTTCCATCGCATTAGTGGACAGATTAGGACGACGAGCTCTGCTCATTTCATCTGTCAAGTAAGAAGATCCTCATCACTTTTTATTTTCTTATTTACAATCATTATAAGTAACATTCAATAAATTAATAAACTCTATAAATTAATAAATTTTCTCTTGATTTCGAAAACAGATCATAGTCTCAGTGATCTTAGGATTAAAATTAGGAGACAACCAAGAGCTATCAAAAGGATACTCCACATGTTGGTCATCTTCTTTTCCCTCTTTATTATGGGGTATGGATGGTCATGGGGACCGCTTGGCTGGACTATACCGAGTGAGATATTTCCATTGGCGACTCATTCTGCGGGACAGAGTATAACCGTTGCTGTCAATCTCCTCTTCACCTTCATTCTTTTTCAGGCTTTTTTGTATCTCCTCTGTGCACTAAAGTTTGGATTTTTTCTCTTCTTTGCTGGTTGCGTTTCTGTGATGACCATCTTTGTTTACTTCATGTTGCCTGAGACCAAAGGAGTGCCAATTGAAGAGGTGACACTCATATGGAGAAAACATTGGTTCTGGAAGAAACTATTGCCTGCAAATCTTGATACTGAAAGCTAGTTCGGTTCAAACTAGCTAACAAACACTTCCATCTACGTTAATAATTGATTGCAAGCTTGTGTTGCTTTTCAATATAGACTCATTTAGAAACTATTGTCGATTTGAGGTAAAAAACTCAGGCTGCTACAGTCAAATGCAGAATGTGATCTTTGACTCTCAGACTCTCTGCAATGTCTTAATTTGGTTAAGCACTTTCTGCAAAAAATTTAGATGAAGAAGTTCGTTAAGCACTCTGACGTTTCTCTCCTCGGACAAATCAGTTTTTTTTGTCACAATGAGATGCATTGACATAAGGTGATGTGTAAGATAGTCTCGGCCATTCTTGGAGCTACTCCATTCTATTTCTCAAGTCCTCTTTCAGTTGCAGTTGGGGAAATAGGAAGGCTTTCATCCTAATTTATCATTTTAAATTAACAAGACCGCTTGACAACGTAACCAAACATAAATCCGAATTATTAGAAATCAACGAATCTAGCTAATCATCTGGCAGACCCATATCCTATCTGAGCTGGTAACGGGATTATATATAATACTAGGCTTTTAAGTCGACTTTGTATTAATAATTTGGTTTAATTTATTTTGATTAATATCTTTTAAATTATCAAAACAATAATATATTTATAGAAATTTTCTTTTATATAAAAAAATAAAACATAACATGTAGTTTTTTTATTTTTTGTTTATAAAATTATAAATTTTATTAAGTAAAATTATAGTAATGACACCAAAGAATTATCTAACTTCGGCGTGGATACGTTTGATTTAGAAAATGATTTACTTATCAAATTTTTGGTGTTTTGTTTTGTGTCCTTGGGATTTCTGATGTATTGTGTTTTTGACACATTCTAACCCAAGTTTTCAAAGATTTTTCGAGTATTTTCTGTGTGTTTTAGAGTTTTTTTTTAGGTTGGATCACGTTTGAGGAGAACTCTAAGGCATAAAGAGCAAGGAATGGAAGAAAAGATGATGATCTCTGATTCCTGCGAATTGTCCTTGATTAACGCCTGTTTTAATTGATCTTTTATCAAATTTATTTGCTATTTTCGTTTTACATTGTATTCAACAACCATATTCTTGTCTCAGATTTATTTCATTCATTAATAATCATAGTGTAACCTTGGTCTGTGTGGATCCAATCCCATCTATATTACTGCGATTGTCTGTGCACTTGCAGTCTTTTATTTGGGTAAAACCTGAGTGTATCAAGTTTTTGGTGTGTTGCCGGGGACCAATAGCGTTACAAGTGAATCTAGAACTGAAGTTTAGTCTAAGATTTACTAACTAGTTTCTTCTTTCACTTTTGTGGATTCAGGTGTATGCAGAGAAGAAGTAAAGGTTCAGACAACCTTCTTAATCTCAACAACCAGGAACTTGCAAGAACAGAAAGAACTAACAACAAAGCGAAAAAGAAGTCGAATGAAGCCACAATGGGTAATGTAATCGACAGCAAAGCTCTAGCTAACCAAGCTGCAGAGCTCCAAAGGGTGCAACAACAGCTGAATCGGTTGTTGCAACAACAACAACATCAGCAAGAACAACAAGGTATTGGGGATGTGGATACACCTCACACCTTCTATAGGAACAGAGCTACCAACTGCACACCAGAAATTGAAAGAGCAGATTATGAGATAAAACCTTAGATGATTGCACTGGTGAAGCAGCATGTTTTTCATGGCCTCTCTGCTGAGCTTCTAATGGACCACATTGAGAACTTTGAAGAGATCTGCAGTACAACAAAGTAAAATGGGGTACCTGCTGACTATCTCAAATGCAAACTCTTCCCATTATCTTTGGCTAACAAAGCACAGAGATAGCTTAAATCCCTTCCTCATGGATCTTTGACAAGCTGGGGACAATGCAGAGCAGCATTCTTGGACCACTTGTACACTAAGTCCAAAACTGCTGCTTTGAGGAACAAGATCACCACCTTCCCGCAACATTCAGATGAATCCTTTTGTGAAGCATGGGAGAGGTTTAAGGAGTATTGCAAAGAGTGCCCTCACCATGGGTATTCAGATGAGCAGTTTCTTAGCATCTTCTATGATGGAGTAGAATGAGAGTTTAAAAACAATCCCAATGCTGCAAGCAATGGAGATTTTATGACCAGGAGTACACAGAAGGCATATGAGCTGATAGAGAACTTAGCTTCAAGTTCTAACAATCGATGTCCTGAGTATGACATGTCAAGAAGAGTCAATAGTATGGAATCTCAGAAGATCGATGAGCTGACTGCTCAAGTGAGTCTTTTGTTGAAGGTAACTCAGAAGGAAGGACACAATTGTGAAAATGGATCTGATGCTTTTCTTTGTCAAGAGTTTGCAGAAGAAGAGAACAATGAGCTGCAGGAAGTTAGCTATGTGAATGGCCAACCATTTGTGCAGAATAAAGGGTTTAATCAGAACTACAGAAACCATCCAAATATGTCCTACAGAAGCACAAATATTGAAAATCCACAAGATAAAGTCTTCCCCCAGTAGATGGTCAACCAGGCGCCTCAGTTTCAAGGAAAAACATATGTGCCAAATGCTGGCGTCACTGGTGCTTCTCAGGGGTTTTCAGGACAGACGGGCATGCAAAACCAGAGCTTTCAGAAGAACTTCTCTCAAAGGTTTCCAAGAAAACCAGGGTTTCATGCAAAACCAGGCTCAGAACAGATTTCAGGGTGGATTCCAGCAGAAACAACCATTCAACAGCTTCCAACCTACAACACCAGCTCCTTTCCAAGCTTCTACAAGCTCTGCAAGTGGTTCTCAGGATGAACTCAAAACTCTTATGCAACAAATCTTAGTCAGTCAGCAGAAATCCACTCATGAGATCAACACCAAGATTGACAACATGTACAATGACCTGAATGGCAAGTATGAAGCTTTGAACACTCATGTGAAGAAGCTGGATACTCAGGTAGCTCAAACTGCTGAAGCAATCAAGAGATCACATGGTTTTCTTCCAGGAAAAGGTGAACAGAATCCCAAGAAGTTTGTAAACGCCATTTCACTTAGGAGTGGAAAGGTACTAGGACCTGTGGCTCAAAAAAAGATGTAACTGATGTCGTGATTGATCTAGAAGAGGAGGAACCAGAAAATGAGAAGGACAAAGATACTACAGATGGACACACTGTAGAAGAGAAGAAATTTCTGCCACCAGCCAGAGTCTATATTCCAAAGGTTCCCTACCCTACTCCTCCAAAGAAGTCTAGGAAAAACCTGGAAGAAGCAAAATGCAAGGAGATGCTAAATGATCTTATTGTGAAGCTTCCTCTTGCTGATGCAATCCAGATGATGTCTGCAATGAAGAAATATATGAAGAGCTTGGTAACAAGCAAGATGACTGGAAAGGAAGACTTCATCAAAGTGACAAAGGATTGCAGTGTTGTTCTCCAAAACAAAATGTCTAAGAAGCTGGATGATCCTGGGCGTTTTATCCTCTCAGTGTAGATTGGAGCATTGACTTTTTCTTGTTCTTTGTGTGATCTAGGTTTAAGTGTCAACTTGATGTCATACTCTGTGGCTAAAAGGCTTGGGTTCACAAAGTTTAAGCCAACAAAGATCTCCTTAGTTTTTGCTGATAGATCTGTAAAGTTGCTAGTTGGAATCCTTGAAGATCTGCATGTGAGGTTGGCAATGCATATGTGCCTGCAGATTTCGTGGTCCTTGAGCTAGATGAAGAACCAAAGGACCCCTTCATTCCAGGAAGACCTTTTCTATGCACTGCTGGAGCCATCATAAATGTGAGAAGTGGGAGGATAGACCTCCACCTTGGAGACATCATCTTGAAGTTCGAGATGGATAAAATGCTAAAGAAACCCATGCTTGGTGGACAAACCTTCTCAGTGGATGACTCTCTAGAGATTTCTGAGGATGCTGCTGCAGAATTTATAGTAAAAGACCCATTGAAGATTGCCTTGACACAAGTTGCAAGTGAACATGGATTTTTGAATGAAGAGGCAGTTGAATATGCAAGGATGATGGACTCCACCAAAACCATAAAGAAGATGGTCGCCCACCTCAGTCTAGATGGGGCTTAATGTGAACGTCCAGCAAGGATCCAACCAGAGCCACAAGCATCCACGTGGAGTGAACTGAAAGCTTCAAAAGTTGAGCTCAAAACACTTCCTTAAGGGCTAAAGTACGCATTTCTTGGTCCTAACTCTACTTATCTTGTCATCATCAATGCTAAACTGAAAAATGCTGAAACTACTTTGCTTTTGTGTAAACTTAGAAAGTATCACAGAGCCATATGCTATTCATTAATGATATCACAGGGATTTCACCTAACCTTTGCATGCATAGGATACATCTAGAAGATGAATCAATGACTTCTATAGAACATCAGAGGAGGTTAAACCCAAATCTAAAAGATGTTGTTAAGAAGGAGATAATAAAAATTCTAGAAGCAGGAGTGATCTATGCTATTTCTGATAGTAGTTAGGTTAGTTTTGTCCATGTAGTGGTGATGTGACAGTTGTTAAGAATGATAAAATGATTTGATTCCAACTAGAAATGTTACAGGGCATAAGATGTGCATATATTATCGAAAGTTGAATGCTGCAACTCGTAAAGATCATTCCCCTTTGCCTTTCATCGATCAGATGCTTGAAAGATTGGCTAACCATCCTTACTACTGATTTCTAGATGGTTATTCTGGTTTCTTTCAGATTCCGATACACCCAGATGATCAGGAGAAAACCACATTCACTTGTCCTTATGAAACTTTTGCTTATTGCAGAATGCCATTTGGCTTGTGCAATGCCCCAACAACCTTCCAGCACTGCATGATGTCGATTTTGACTATATAATAATGGAGGTTTTTTCATAGATGACTTTCAGTATGTGGATCTGCTTTCTCTGTCTGTCTTTCTAATTTGTGCAAGGTGCTTCAGCGCTGTGAGGAAAAACATCTTGTGCTGAACTGGGAGAAGTGTCACTTCATGGTGAGAGATGCGATTTTTTTGGGGCACAAAATCTCAGAGCAAGGCATTGAAGTAGATAAGACGAAAGTTG